AGATATCTAGCAGGGTGTTGGGCTTAGGAATATATTCAAGGTAATAAAGTAAAGTAAGGCTTAGGTTCGGCTTTGGCTTTGGCTTGGTTCAGGCTTAGGCTTGGCTTAGGCTTGGCTTTGGCTGGCTTTGGCTTGGCTTAGGCTTGGCTTAGGCTTGGCTTTGGCTGGCTTAGGCTTGGCTTTGGCTTAGCTTAGGCTTGGATTTGGCTTGGCTTAGGCTAGGCTTAGGCTTGGCTTAGGCTTTGGCTTAGCTTAGGCTTGGCTTTGGCTTGACTTAGGCTTGGCTTAGGCTTTGGCTTAGCTTAGGCTTGGCTTTGGCTTGGCTTAGGCTTGGCTTAGGCTTGGCTTAGGCTTGGCTTAGGCTTTGGCTTAACTTAGGCTTGGCTTTGGCTTAGCTTAGGCTTAGGCTTGGCTTAGGCTTTGGCTTAGCTTAGGCTTGGCTTTGGCTTAGCTTAGGCTTGGATTTGGCTTGGCTTAGGCATAGGCTTAGGCTTGGCTTAGGCTTTGGCTTAGGCTTAGGTTTTGCCTTGCTTTGGCTGAGAAAGATTTCCGAAGTGGGGATTGAACCCTTGATCTTTTGCTTTCCAGGCAGATGCTCTGGCACTGAGCTATCCGTTATCTAGGCCAGAGAGGAAAGAGGTAATTGAAAGAGAAGAGGCAGGAAGAACAAAGTTAAACATATAGCCAGAAAAGCAAACAACTTACAATCAATTAGAATTCATTTTAATTTAAGAAATTCAAACCCAAAATTTCAAGATAAGACAAGAATAAGACAAGAACAAGATAAGACGTCCAGAATAGAAGTTAAAGCAAATTACTGTATCGTAGTGGTGTAGCTTCGACATATATCCAGGCTAACCAGCTGGCTATCATAAAGTCATTAGTCTAGGGGTCACTCACCCATCGGTCACACTCTTTCTCCATAAACCAAACAAAGAACAAGGACGGGTCATCGGGTTTCCAGGACAGAGAAAAGATTTTAATCGGCCATCTGCCACAAGAGCCCGGTCAGGATGCCAAGCGGTGGCCTGGGTGTGGAGAATGCATAAAATGGAGAAGGAGAATGGATCAGTTGTGTAGTTTATAAGCTTACGCCAGTTTATAAGCTTTTTTAGCGTCATATCCTTGTTGAATAGTACTTTTAAAGTAAAATACAAGTTTGTTTGAAGAAATCCTTTTCTAGATGAAAATATTATCTGTTAGAAGTCTGAAGAAAGTGTCAAAAAAGACAAATCTCCGGCGAGAGCTCATTTGCTCCGTCTTGAGCTCATTCTAGAGCTTGTAAAATGAGTTTTATAAGTCCAATCGCGAAGTTCTTCGTAGATAAATGACGCCAAGATGAAGGGCTTTATTTTCCTGAATAACATTTGTCACTTTTGGAATAAGGCAGCCGTTTTCCAGGAACTTTTCCAAAAAAGGTATCACCATAATTCGAATTCATCCTGTAGTTTAGTTTATCTTTGCTTTTTCACCAAATTATCATAAAACAGTAACGACTACGCGACTCTACGCCGAAAACTGGCACTTATGCTTAAATTGCTCAGGTTTTTCAACCCCTTTCACCTTTTTCAACCAGCCATGTTAACTTCTCTTTTCCAATCGGTTTGCCGTTGGCAATCTACGAATTTCGCTCGTATCTTGACCAGGTTTGTTTGAAAAGATTTGCTTTTGCTTTCATTCGATAGAAAATTTCATTTCAAGTCGTATGAAAGGAAATTCAACGTTTTTCAAATAAAAACAGTTAAGAAACGAGCTAAGAAACGAGCAAAATAAGTAGGTTGCCAACGGCAAACGGCTCGAAAAAGGGGCGGAGTTAAAATGCCTGCTTTCAGTAGCCAAACCATTGTGCTCAAAGATTCCTACCCAAACTTCTAATCTTCTAACCCTAAGCCTAAGCCTGAGCCTAAACCAAGCCAGTGCTGTTCTAGGTAGTGTTTGGCTCACCCATATTAACTCCGCCTCTTTTTCGGTCCGTTTGCCATTGGCAATCTACTTATTTTGCTCGTATCTTAGTCAGGTTTGTTTGAAAAACGTTGAATTTGCTTTCATTCGACTTGAAATGAAATTTTCTATCAAATGAAAGCAAATTCAACGTTTTTCAAATAAACACAGCTAAGAAACGAGCAAAATAAGTGGATTGCCAACAGTAAACGGATCGAAAAAGGGGTGGAGTTAAAATGGTTGCTTTCATTAGTATATAAAGCACAGTTTCACAAGATCGAACGGTTCACAATCTTTACTTGAAGATACAGTCATTCAAGCACTCTGGCATGTTTCAACTCTTGGATGTTCAACCTTTGCATGTTCAATTTTGGATGTTGAGGAATGAACTTTAACTAGAGATAGTGTAGATCTTCATAAGATTTTCTTTTGCCTCATTTTTTTAACCCTTTCAAACCCCTTTTACCCATTGCACCCTAGCACGCGCATCACAAGATCTCACGAATCGATATCGTTGGTGTCTCTGTTCCTTTCTCTGTCGATTCTTTTCTTTTCCTCCCTTTCCTTTTCCCTTTCTCTAAACAAGGCGTGACCGGTCTTTCCCCTAAAGGGATGTGAAAAGAAAAGAAAGAAAGAGCTGTTCTCTCAAGAGGAAAAATCGAACGAGAGTCGCCCAACTATTACTGTTTTCGACAAAAATTAGAAAACAATTTCTCTCAAATTTTCGTTGACCTGTGATTGGCAGAGATCAAGATATTTTCCCTTTTTTTGCTGTATTTTTAGATTTCCGGATCAAAATAGGTGATCGGATAAGAGATCGTGGTCTGAAAGCCTGGAAATCGTACAATGTACTGCCTGGAAATCGTACAATGCACTGCCTGGAAATTGTACAATGTACTGCCTGGAAATTGTACAATGTACTGCCTGGAAATTGTACAATGCACTGCCTGGAAATCGTACAATGTACTGCCTGGAAATCGTACAATGCACTGCCTGGAAATCGTACAATGGTTGAAAACTTTGCAAACCATTTCGCTTTGCCTTTTTGAATAAGAGTTAGAAACTAATGAATCGAGCTTTATGTAAAAAGTATGACTTTAAACGTTAGCTAAACAACGATTGGAACACTAGAGGAGTACTTTAAAGATTATCGGATATTTGCCAAAGCGGCGGGGCGCTTATGCCCCACCTTCTATACGCGCCCCACCGCTTTGCCATTGGCTAACTTTGAGCTCAAATATCTTGGTGTTGGGCTGTTCAATTTAAATATTCTTGATATCATTAGATGCGCCAAGTCTTTCTCTGTAGATTGGTACAAGAACTATTTAAATTGAACAATTCAAAGCCAAGATCTTTAGATTACTTTAGCTTTACTTTAGCTTTACGTCAGCTATTCTTTAGCTGTACTTTAGCTTTACTTTAGTTGTACTTTAGCTTTACTTTAGTTGTACTTTAGCTTTACTTTAGCTTTCCTTTAGCTTTCCTTTAGCTTTACTTTAGGTGTACTTTAGCTTGACTTTAGCTTTACTTTAACTTTATTTCAAAACATCTGCATTTTCGAGTCATTTCAAGTAATTTCAAGTGTTTTCAAGTGTTTCTCTGTAGCAATGGCATGTGCATTTTCAAAATTTCCATCTGAATTTGCCTAGCCAGGGCCTGAGCCTAAGCCGAGCATGAGCCTAAGCCTGAGCCTGAGCCTTAGCTTTCCTTTAGCTTTATTTCAAAACATCTGCGTTTTCGAGTCATTTCAAGTGTTTCTCTGTAGCAATGGCATGTGCATTTTCAGAATTTCCACACAAAAAATACTTGTCAAGCCTTTATGTTCACTTGCAAGAGCTATATATAGCCATCTTTGCTTCCCAAATATCTCAAGTTTACAATTTACAAGAAAAAATATAAACAAAAAAAAAAAGGATAACTCTAGCAGATCCGTAAGTGACCAAAATTAAATACCGTATTGGAAAAAAGAAAAAAGAAAATAAACAACAAAAAGATAACAATAAACCGTGATGTTGAGGTCAAAAAAATAATCGAAATTCGGGAAGAAAAAAAAGAAAAATATCAAATTCAAGAATAGCACAGCTTTTTTTTTTATATGGTGAGTAGAGGAGTTGAAAAGTTTTGTGTTTTCTCGAAGGAAAGACGGGAATAGCTAAGTTTTTCAACAACCTTAAGGCAATGGCCAGGGGTAGGCTATTCTAGAGAACGCTTAGAGTCCTTGTAGAATCTATAGCATTCAAGAAAACGCTTAGAGTCCTTGCACAATCCATAGCCTAAACCCTTGGCCATCCTTGCGTATCATTAAGCACATACGCACATCATTAAGCATCTATATACAGTCGGTTTTTTTTTTCAAATTTTTGTACACATTTTCTTGGGACTTGTTGAGGATCATTGGGAAATTACGAATTACAAAAAAATGATAATTTACCAGTCATTTTTACAATGGGCTGCTATAGGCTAAGGAAGAAAGCCCGTAAAGAAAAACATAAGCATAGTTATAAGGGCCAGATTGGGATCTTGGATGGAAAGAGCAGCGAGAAGACACGGGAGATTTGGGTAAACTATTGGATTACTATAGAATTGGAAATATTGGATTGGGTCCATTGGATTGGGTCCATTGGATTGAGTCCATTGGATTGGGACCATTGGATTGGGTCCAAGTACTGGGGCGGGACCGTCTGTGCCGTCTTCCCATTTGGTCCACCGTATGACCGGGAATTGTGAGGCCCGGTGCACCGCCCGCGAGTAGCTTTTGCCCAGTTTAGCGAGCTCTAGATACTTTTGACCGGCTACAATAGCCTGGCCTTTTTCCAGGGTACTTTTGCACTGAACTTGTAGAGGTTTAGGCAGTTCCTAGCCAACTACAGGTCAAATGTGGCCTGTAGAAGTCAGGGAAAGCTCCTAGCTATCTACAGATCTACAGATCTAGAGTTGTAGAGGAGAAGGCAGCTCCTAGCCAACTACAGGTCCAGTAAGAACTTGTAGAGGTCAGGGTGAGCTAAAGCCAAAGCCAAAGCCCAGCCTAAGCCTTCTTCAAGTCCAGGATTAGTACCCTAGTATAAATATCTCAGCCCTAGAAAATTAAGATAAAACAGATGACAGCTAAAAGTCGATGGTGGGATGACCGCCAACCGGGGGCTTCCATTTGGTCCACCGTATGACCGGAAGTGCGAGGCCGGACTGTCACCAAACCACCACAAACGATTTTGGTCAATCAAAAAAAGAAATCGATAGAGAAAAGTGAGCAAAATGGTGAGCGAATTGGGGTACCTATTGGAGTTGCTGAGTTGGAGTGAAGGCACTTCATTGGGGACAAATGTCCAGGCTCTTCTCTAGCGATCCATTGGAAACATTGGAAAGTTGTGCTTCTTGTGCTTCTGCTGCGTTCGAGGACAGAATTTGAGGAGTGTGGGATCTAGAATAGAAAGATTTGATAAAGGTTTTTAAACTGGATAAGTTTTAGAGCTAGAGATCTAGCTTGGATTGTTTTAGCTCTAGGTTTAGATCTAGTTTTAGCTCTAGGTTTAGATCTAGGTTTAGATCTAGGTTTAGATCTAGAAGCTGATCTAGAAGCTGATCTAGAAGCTGATCTAGAAGCTGATCTAGAAGTTGATCTAGAAGCTGATCTAGAAGTTGATCTAGAGCCCAGCTAAGAGCTGAATGAACTCTAGAACACTGGAAATCATTCCCAGCTATACTACAGCTGTACTTGTTGTCTAAGGTTTCTAATTGCTTAAATACTGGGTTTAAACAAGTCGAAGAATGGCTATACTAAAATCGTGCTGTACTTTGAAAGCACTTGCAAAGCTCTAGCTAAACTATCTAACACATATTTAGCTAAACCATTACTCACCAAGATATTCGGATCCTCGTCACATCCGGTTTTTGATCTCAATGCGGACCGGTATGTACAGATAAAGGCCGAGTCGAAAAGCTCCAATAAACTTGTAGAGAAAACAAGTTAGATATCGAAAATATAGTGGAGAGACATCAAGGCCGGGGGTTGAGCTTCCCCTCACCAAACACATCAATACATGGTGGTGAAGAAGTGAGAAGAAAAGGGGAGTGAGCTGTCTGTGCCTTTCGGGCAGTCGCCTATATACCTCGAGGGGGGCGGGGTTTCGAAGGGGACCTGGGGGTGCAGAGGAGCGCCGCGTCCTCCCCCCAGCCTCTTCCCAGCGCTCAGCCTCTCTGCTCAGCTATAGTTTTTCTCTAATCTTCTTCATTCTTTCTGTATCTAACCATTCATTTATCAACCTGGGTCTACTGTGCCTCAGAGCGGTTCTTCTCTCCATTTTCTCTATCCATTCTTCTCTCCATTTTCTCTATCCATTCTTCTCTCCATTTTCTCCAATATCTAACCTTTCATCCATCTAAATCTTCCCTTTTGCCCTAAATCTTTACTTTGTCTTTTTCCACTTTCTCTAGCTTCCATCTACCAATCTATCGCTGCACTTTTTCTCTAAGATCTCTCAATTCTCTAGATATTCTATTCCTTGCCAAATCTAGATCTCTCCATTAGCCTTATATTTAGATCTTTTGATCAATCTTTTATCTAAACTATAACTATCTGAACTTTCCAATCTTTTCCTCTCCTTTCCTCTCCTTTCCTCTCCTTTCCTCTCCTTTCCTCTCCTTTCCTCTCCTTTCCTCTCCTTTCCTCTCCTTTCCTCTCCTTTCCTCTCCTTCCCCACTCTCTCTAAACTCTTCTTCTTCCAAAACTTTCTCTATCTTCATTCTATCTCCATCTCTCCATCTCTGTGTTTTCTAAAATTGCACTATTTCTTGTACAATTCCCCTTTTCCTATATCTAAACCTTGAATTTCTCGATTCTCTATATCTCGAAAACTTTCGAAAGTTCCCGGTTGACCTGCTCTTGAAGGAAGTGAAAAAACGAGAAAAGACACGAAAAAAAAAGCCGTTAGCAAGATTTTCGAATGGTTTTCGAATGTAATCAGCCCATTCTTTTCGAAAAATTTTCACTTTAAACGAAACTTTTCGCCAAAGGCTAGTCTAGAGACGATTCGGGAAATGCGATCATCATTTTTGACAAAAGGTTTCGAATTTTCGATTCATTACGTAAAACTTTCGAATATTTTGTATTATCTAACATCAAATTAAAATCTTTTATACAAAAAGAGCTTATCGTTAGCGGCTAAAGTCTTGCCAAAGGCTTGCCAAAGTCTTGCTAAAGTTCTACGCTAGTAAACTGATCTAAACTGTTCGAAACTGTTCGAAACTGGATCGAAACTTGACCCAGTTTAAACCCTAGAATAAAATAATGCTAGATCTTTCACTTTTACCGTTTTAATTTCATTTTCAATGTTAACTTAATAGTTAACTTTTATTAATTATCTAGAAAAAGGCCCGTTTCTAACTAGGTTCCAATCTGTTGCCCAGGCTGGCCGTATTTTGACCAATCAAGCTAAAACTTCTTTAGAAAACTTTAGAATATATTGTAGTTGTTCTGATTCAAAACAAATTTTTAAAAAACCAAAGTTGAGTGACAGTATGGGCGGTCGAACCCGGGTTGTGTGGGCCGTAGACCAGCGTGCTCGCGGCTGCACTATGGTGACAAGCTTCCAGGCAGAAAAACTCGCGGTTAAGTGGGTCTTTCGGCTATCAAATTGATATATATGAGAGGTAGTTTATCAGACACAGTAGAGAGGTTTCGGGTAGGGTCGAGTCGAGTCGAGTCGACCTGAAACGACCCGGCCCGATCAGATTCGACCCGGCCCCGCCCAGCCCAATCCGACCCGACCCGGCCCGGTCCGACCCGATTGCCTATGTCTAAGACACAGTAACCTAAGATCTACGGTATTTTAATGTACTTCTTTAGTTGCAGATATTAGGGCTTAGATATTAGATCTTAGAGCTTAGATCTTAGGGCTTAGATCTTAGAGCTTAGATCTTAGGGCTTAGATCTTAGAGGCTTAGAGCTTAGAGCTTAGATATTAGAGCTTAGATATTAGAGCTTAGATCTTAGAGCTTAGATATTAGAGCTTAGATATTAGAGCTTAGATCTTAGAGCTTAGATATTAGAGCTTAGATCTTAGGGCTTAGATCTTAGGGCTTAGAGCTTAGAGCTTAGATATTAGAGCTTAGATCTTAGGGCTTAGATCTTAGAGCTTAGATATTAGAGCTTAGATCTTAGAGCTTAGATCTTAGAGCTTAGATATTAGAGCTTAGATATTAGAGCTTAGATCTTAGAGCTTAGAGCTTAGAGCTTAGATCTTAGAGCTTAGAGCTTAGAGCTTAGATCTTAGAGCTTAGATATTAGAGCTTAGATCTTAGAGCTTAGATATTAGAGCTTAGATATTGGGCTTAGATCTTGGAGCTTAGATATTGGGGCTTGGATCTTGGGGCTTAGAGCTTAGAGCTTAGATCTTAGGCTTAGATATTGGGGCTAGATCTTGGGCTTAGAGCTTAGGCTAGATCTTAGAGCTTAGGGCTTAGGCTTAGATCTTGGCTTGGATATTAGGCTTGGATCTTAGGGCTTGGATATTGGAGCAGTTGGCTTAGATCTTGGGGCTTGGATTTGGGCTTAGATCTTAGAGCTTAGAGCTTAGAGCTTAGATCTTAGAGCTTAGATATTAGAGCTTAGATCTTAGAGCTTAGGGCTTAGAGCTTAGAGCTTAGATATTAGAGCTTAGATCTTAGGGCTTAGATATTAGGGCTTAGATATTAGATCTTAGATCTTAGATAGATCTATTAGATATTATCCGAGTATTTGCTAGTAGCCAGTGTTTCTTTGTTTGATCCAGCCCGTAATCTGGACTCATTCTAGTGCAACAAGGCTTGTAATTTGATTTAAATTCATTTAAAATATAAAATTTCTTTAGATATGATTTTATCTAGGTAATTTTATAGATCAAAGTATCAAAAACCCAGAGCTTTTCCCTGCAAAGTTGTAGTTTTCGGCAAGAAAAAGAAACCCTTGCAAAGCTTTGTTATCAACAAGGGTTTGTTTTGTACAACAAGGATTTGTTTTGTAAATGTTGTGTTTCGTAAAGCTTTTTGTTTCTAGAAAAGCTGACAAATTGGAGTTGCGTCATGGTGATTGTTTAGAAGAGAATTTGGCGGACAAAACTGAGTTGGCAGTGATGAGTCATCGCAAAGCGCTACCCTCTTTTTCTCAAACTTTGTGCTCTTGTGATTTTGACATCATATTACTCATAGTATGCTTTTAGATCCTTTATTATCGCCTATTTAATCGCTTTTCGGTTTACTTTCAGCTTGAATACATAAAAAATATTCTAGCGTACTTGTTTCTGCACTTTGCCTAAAGAAAATGAAGAATTTGAGTCGGATTTGAGCGAAAAGTACACAAAAATCGTAGCTCCAGATCGATTTATAGTGATTTTTAGTGGATTGGTTTATCAGTTCTCATTCTAAGAGTGTATTTTGAGGTCAAATTTGTAAACAAATCTCTCTATTGCATTCAATTCTTCAGTTTTCTTGCATTTTTCGCAATTTTCTTTCATTTTCTTGGATTTTCTTGGATTTTTCTTCAATTTTCTTCAATTTTCCTCAATTTTCTTTCATTTTCTTGGATTTTTCTTCAATTTTCTTCAATTTTCTTCAGTTTGCTTACATTTTTCTTCAATTTTCTTTGATTTTCTTCAATTTTCTTCAATTTTCTTTCATTTTCTTGGATTTTTCTTCAATTTTATTCAATTTTCTTCAGTTTGCTTACATTTTTCTTCAATTTTCTTTCATTTTCTTCAATTTTCTTCAATTTTCATCAATTCTCTTTCATTATATTGTACTGTAGTGTAGACAGTTAGTGTTGGATCGTTCTCAAATAATTTGAAGCAAAGATTCGTTGGTCACAGCCAAGTCTGGGCATCATTGAGCCTACAGGACCTAGAAGCCAAGTCTGGGCATCATTCTGTAGGGGCCAATGATGCCCAGACTTGGAGTCTAGGTCCTATAGGTCCAATGATGTCCAGACTTGGCTTCTAGGTCCTGTAGGTTCAATGATCAAATGTCCAATGATACCCAGACCTGGTCTGTTCAATGCTCGATTAAAACCTGCAGAAAATGCAAGAAAATTGAAGAAATAATGCATGAAAATTGAAGAAATGATGCGTTTAGAGTGCACTAGAAAGGTTATGCTTAGAAAATTGAGCACTATCCACAATCACAAAGCCACAATCGCAAAGCACAAAGCACCCCATTTTCTTCACCTTTCAGTAGCTCATTTCCAACAGGTTCCTCACTATGTAAGTCAATAGAATGCTTGCGTACCCTAAGTGTCAATCCAATAAGCCCGACCCAACAAAAAGACAGGTTATTTGAAGGGAAAAGTGGGATGGGTGAAGAGAAATTATTTGATTACAAGCGACACCGGACGAGAACAAACGAAAAGCGAAAAACGAGCGGGTTACGTTGAGAAAATTGAGGAAATTGAGGAAATTTCGATTTTAAGTCGTACTTTTTTTGCTTTATTCTGTAAACACACTAAAAAAAGGGGAAAAAAAGGGGAAGAATTTGGGGGGGGGGAGAGTTTAAAAAAAAAAAAAAAAAAAATAATGCAATCGGTAAAGGAACGGCTGAGAAGACGAAGGTGGAATTTGGTTTGGCTTGGAATTTTCCCATGTCTACTATGTACTCTGTTATCAAATGTACTGTACTATATATGTACTATACTGTACTATACGTCCTTTGCTATAACTAAAGTCCTTATAAACTCAAAAAATTCAAACCAGGTCAAAGTTTCGGGTTCTTTTATTAGACAATTCAAAAACTCAGAAGTTTATTATGCTTGTACTTTTTTTTTACGACTTTTTACTGTATACTTTTTCTATTTTTATTCTTTTTACTTAGCTCTTTTATATCCAAATTAGGGAAAAGGAATTTTGGATTTAAATTTTTATGTTTTTGTTGTTTTTTTCCCGAATGTCCCTTTATCCTATTCTCATTACAGATCCGCCTTTTCCCGCTACAATTCCGCTTCCCCGTTGACCCTCAGTTCCTGTTTGACTCTTTCTATAAGCTGTGGGAAATAAAATTCTTATTGTGTGCTAATTGCTAATTGTCAAAAATACCTTAAATGCCGTTCATGCCAAAAATACCGTAAATATTCTAATAGAAGAGCCCCTATAGAAGCGTCGCGTAGTCTACACTTAAACTCAAAGAACTCCGCTTATATCTCGACACCAGTAAGTGTATTATCGTAAATATTCTAATAGAAGAGCCCCCCCCCTATAGAAGTGTCGCGTAGTCTAAGTTTACTTTCAAACAAATGCTCATATCTCAGCACTAGTACCTTGGTTTCTGCTCGCTTAGGTATCAAATTAAAGTAGAGAAGATGGTGATTGTTTTGTGATATAACACTTATTTTTAGCTCAAATGCTAAGCTCAAATTTTT